ACACTTGAGCAGGTCGATCGTGGACTTCGTAACGTGTTCTCGGAGAGCTGCCTCTCCGTTCGCTGCTATGCGCCACGAAGGATCTACATATTTTTGAATCGCACGGAAGTTCTGAACCGGTTTTGGTCACGGGGTCGCGTGATCAATCTGGTCACGTGTTGACGCGTCGTGTTTACTTGCTGCTGTCCTTTGCGGTGATCATTCCCCTTCCATGAATATCTATCTATGGCTTTAAACAGTTCCCCTCGCAAACAGATCCCACTGGCAACCGGGGAAGAGACACCTCGTAAATCCACTCCATTTCTGACCAAACGAGCTTTCTATTGCGGAGTTGTTGTAGAGGGTTGTGATAGTGGCAGAAGGTTGCCCGAAGGTGAGTGGTATTGTTGATGTCTGAAGAGCACAATCTAAGTGGTACAGATGTCCAAGACCTGGTTCTATCACTGGGAGACCCCTGGTTGGGCCAGAATGACAGCAACATTCTATCTTCCGCGACAGGGACGTCGTTCTCAGAACATCATCAGCTAGTGAGTTGTACATGATAGCCCTTTCTTTCTGCAAAGGCGAGACATTTCTCTTGCTCACACTCGGATGTGGTCGTTCTCTTATCATAGGATGGACTGCAGCGTAAACGAGCTCTTACAGATTCGACAGCTCTGACTGATGTGGTCAATGAACTCGTCAATACTGAGCGTTCGTACGTCAAACGTCTTCAAATACTGAAGTCCGACTATGCAGACCCACTGCGACAATTCTCCCGAAACAAGAACACCGCGATCTTACCCGCGTATGAGGCTAAAACGTTATTCGGGAACATCGATAACCTTCTCCCAGTCAATGAGGCTTTTCTTCTGGATCTCGAGAAGATGGTTGCGCCCAACGGTCTCAAAACAGTTGGGGGTGTAGGCGATGTTGCTCTGCGACATTTCAAGGATCTACGAGGTTTCGAACACTATAAACAGTACTACGTCAAGCGAGAGGAAGCCCAGTTAATATTTGAACGCGAGATGATGAAGAAATCTTCTGGTTTTTCCGCATATATTGATGTAAGTATTGATGCTACCCTCTTGGCGATGCTGATGAGACTCTGTTACTAGCGAATCAAGTACTCGAATGCTGATATCAAGAACCGTGTTGGTCTGCGGGAGCTACTCATGGATCCTGTTCAGCGGATTCCACGATATACGTTACTCTTCCGTACTATGATAAAGTACATGGCATCGGGAGACCCACAACGCGCTAAATTGGTAGAAGCCGACGAAATTGCCAGCAAGATCGCTCTTGCGGAAACAGACGAACAGACCAAGCGAGCAGCAATTATGCATTGCCTTAACGCATCAGTGGATGGTTTTCCTCCTGGCTTAATATCGATCTCACGACGGTTTATCGATTGCATTGATGTTGATGATATCGTGCAAGATGGTCCTGCATCAGCATCCTCCTCCGTCTCTAGCATCCCACTTAATGTGCTGCACTGTACTTTATTTCTTTTCGATGACAAGTTAATGATTGTCAAGCGACCTGGTAACGGCGAAAAGAGCGGTCGTTTACTAGCTGGTTTGGATGACATTGATAAACTTGCGAAGAATGGCGGTTTGCCATTGGGTATGAAGAAAAGTGGATTGAGTTGCAAAGGCGTCATTGATCTACCTGACGTTGTTGCTGCTGACGTTGGTGGTGCTGGTGAGTTACCATTCGTTGATTGTCACTTCAGTTTCCGACATTCTTCCAGACTTCCACGTATATATTGAGAACCCACCTCAAGGCCAAAGCGATCGCTGGTCTGGGCGTTCTTTCCGTTCTTTTTCCGCGATTTTCCCTCCTGCACCAGTCAACCTTGATCCTATTAGAACTGCGAACGAGAAAGACAGGTTCCTCCAGAATCTATGGAATGCTCAGGCGAAATATCGGACACGGTCAGGACAATCCGTTGTCTTGTGCGCAGATGAGCGCGAAGTAGAGTCTAGGGGAGGAAGGGTTTCTACAGCTCGCACTTACTTCAATGTATACCAGCGAACAGCCTTTTTGCAAGAGGCAAACAAGGTGTGTTTCACTTTTGTGAGCCCGTCATTTCACTCACATAGCTGGCGTGTGCAGACCAAGATCGTCATGCATATAGACACGCTAGGTACTGCAGATCCCATTCCATTTGGAATGAATGGGCCACCTTACGTGGTGGTCAGGGTTCAACCCATGGCGGGGGAGATTTCGCGATATACAGTTACCTCCAGCGATCCGATGGATGAACCCGAGGAAGATATTGTTCAGACATCGAGGATTCCAGGTCGCATAGTCCAAACAAGTTCGTGCCTAATCAACGCCTTCTTTTCTGTTGTGACTGAGAACTGGGGTAGTCCATCAATTCAGTCTGTTCAAGTTTAAAACTGGCAACGACTCCCGTCCCGCTACTCCAAATGCAAACTCACGGTCTCGGGCGCACATATTTAGCTTGGACGCGATCTCGAGAAATCTATTCAACGTCATACCAGGTTCTTCCAAAGGTGATTTCTTCGGAGGGTCCATAAGTGGTCATCGCAGGTCGAAGTCGTTCGCCAGCCGTTCATCTGTCTACACCCAAACAACAACGACAGGAGATGGCAGTTTGACTAAATTCTCTCATCGATCTAATTCGACGGCTACTGCTGCAACGTCACTGGCAGACGATGACTCTTTCTATGGTAGTAAATCTTCGAGTTCACGCAGGAAATCAGTCAATCGAGGTCGTTCACCAGGTAATGGTTCCCCTCCGTTATCATGGTCAGCGCCTTCGTCAAGAGACAGTTCAAAAGCACCCAGTGATGGAGAAGGCGAGGACGAGGCGCCAATTCGCCATGACCAATCTGACAAAGATTTATCAATGCGTCTAGAGCTCGCACGACGAAACAGTCACAATCAGCACGGAAAGCAGGTCACGGCGCCCTCGTTGGATAGACCAATAGAAGACACGATATATGAAGGTAGGATAAAATCCGGTATGAAATTTTTGTGAACCTCATCAATAACATATAGAGGATCCACCTCAGTCCTTACGCCCCATGTCCCGAGCCTCGACAGTCGGGGACGCAGCCAGTCAGCGATCGACGACTCCCCGTCCTACGTCAGTATCTCCTGGTAGAAGGACAAGGCGATCCAATTCTCAATGTTCCTTTGTTGGTACGCGCTTTGGTCCTCGTAGCATCTCTCCATTGCCACCGAAGAGTCCAATACGAGATGCACTCACTCTTCCATCTATGGATGATGAGCTTGCGTTGGAAGCCCAGATACCTACTTCTCACGACTCATCCCTTCTTGAGGATGATTGCCCGTCTCCGTTGCCGCGTAGTAGACGTCAACCCTTCGTCCCGACTGGGAACATGGATTCTACGCCGAGACCATCCAACGCAACCACAGGCAGTGTGGAGCCTCTCTCGATCAAAAAGAAGTCATCTACCAGGTCTAGTACATATAACCAAACCCGTAAATCATCATACACGAGAACTTCTCCACTGTCCAAAACTACAGCAAGAATCGTGTCTCCGCGCAAAGTCTCACCTCAAATTCGAACCACGCGTATTATTCACGCTTCTCATTCACCCCAAGCTGACCACGCAGACGAGCTGTTGGGGATCTCTCTGTCTACCAAAGAGGATGTACGTATGCGATTCCGTCAAATTTGTCAATGACTTCATAGATGCATACAGCTCGAGTCATCACACCGTGTCATTAAACGGATGAAATTGGACCTGCAGGAGACTAGAGCTAGTGATGAATCAGCAAGTCATTCTGAATTGTGGAGACCTCCTTCTCCTGATAAGTCACTAGCTCGTACCCCGCAACGAACTAATGCCCCACCCATTGTGCGTCTATGAATCCATTGCTCTATTTACATTCGTGGCGGCTGATATTTGCTGATGTAGACCAAGGAGGCACAGCAACGGTTAGAAGAGATGAGGCAATTGATACATAAACGCCAGCAAGAGGGTACTCCTCGCAGTAGACCACGAAGTTTTGCACCAGAACTGTCCACGCCTGGACCACCAGCAACGCCGAGTGCATCGAAAGTCAGCCGATTGGATGAGTCTGTTGCTGATGTTGACAAGCTCTTGGCTTCTGCCCTATCAAGCCATGAGATATTGCATAAGAGTCTCATGCAAGTAGTATCTGATTTCAAGGAGGTAGGAGAGCGTAACGTCTCTCTAAATCGTAACTTACCTTTTCCGCACAGAAACTATCTGAATTAGATCAATCTCGCGTAGAACTCCAGAACACGAAACGTCAATGTGAACTTATGAAGAGTCTTCTTGCAGATGCCACTACAGAAAAGGAGATCATGTATGAGGTCAGTGTGATACAATATCATCCGAATGTCAGGAGCTCACCGATATCCAAGGCGTTCAACGAGGAGCTTGATGCCATGTATAATGACGCTCATCTCCCCGATGACGAAGCTTGGACCAACATGACGGCTGACCTTCGCGAGACGAAAGAATCACGAAATACACTTAGAAAAGAGAACTCGTAAGTATTCTGGTTATTGTTGCATTTCTCCTTGATTGACTTCTCTTACAGGCAACTGAAAAGGAGGCTAGCTGAGGTCGAATCTGAAAAAGAAGAGTGCGTATGTGTTTTACTTCGAAACTCTCGACCTAAACCAACTACTCCAATTCCAGATGGAGTGCATTACTACGAGCGCATGGACTTATCCCGTAGTTCATTAGGCGATATGTTTTCATCTTTTACCATTTACATGCATCTTGTAATTATATATGTACGCAACTGACATGTATTTAGTTCTGATCGTAGTGTACAAACCGATTTGTGTCTTTCATACACTGTCAGCAGTAGGCATGCATTCCATGAAACAATGCAAGTACCTTTCTGCGGTAAGTGGGACAAAGAATGTAGTATGGAGGCAGATAATATTTCCAAGCCGAAGTTTCCCAACAAAGTCGCGTAGTTAATACGCTAACAAGCGCGAAGTGATGACCTTATATTTTCTTCAATGCAGCTCATCTCAACAAGTCCCTGTCGATTAGTGGTTAAATCGCCACGTTGTGGAACTCACAAGACCGTGGCGCCGCAGGTTCAATTCCTGCCAGGGACATTTTTTTATATCATTGCTTACTACAAAAGTGACTCGCCCCCGTAAATATCGGAGTCAAGATATGTCCTAAGGAATTGTATGTAACATCCATGGCGGGGCGTAGAGGACTTACAGCACTCAACCTTACGTTCCTTGGTACCGCTTCAGCGCAACCGTCCTCGACCAGAAATCACTCTGCACTTGCATTGCGACTGAATGCCGATGTCTGGCTGTTCGACTGTGGCGAAGCTACACAGCACCAGGTCCAAAGGTCCAATGTGAAGATGGGCAAGATCGAAAAGATCTTTATCACTCACACGCATGGTTCGTGTCTTCTGGCATATTACTTTATAAACTATCTGACTAGCCCTTGACTAGGTGACCATATCTTTGGTTTATTGCCTCTCTTAGCCAGCAGGCTGAATGGTGCGGGAGGAACAGCTGATGGTGTAGAGGATCCTCGCGTACACGTGGTCCAGGGGGATGTTCGTACATCTATTTCACTAATTTTACCACTCGCACTAATGGCTTCATTCAGCCCATTGAAATTTACGGGCCCTTGGGAACCAGGGCATATATCCGCAATGGCCTCACGTATACACATACCCTACTGGGCGCACCCTACATTGTTCACGAATTGCGCCTACCTTCTGACCCGTCGGATGGGGATTATACCTCACTTCCCCTTCATGCGTCCGAATCGCCAAATGGCCGTAATATCCCGCAGACAAACGGTGTTTGGCCAGATGTGTACCATGATAACATTGTCTCGGTTGCTGCAGCTCCCATCCTGCACTCCGTACCATGTGTTGGTTACGTTGTCACAGAGGCTCCTGTGCCCGGTAAAATGAACCCTGCAAAATATATACCAGACCTCAAGCGTACCAAGACACCGATGTCCGTCATGAGCCGCCTTCAACAGGGAGAGAGCGTGGAACTCTCAGATGGCACAATCTTACACGGTCCTCCCCGGAGACCCGGACGCAAACTCGCCATTCTTGGAGACACATATGATCCATCGCCAATAGCAGAATTGGCTTCCTCTGCCGACTTGCTGATACACGAAGCGACTAATGCCCATTTACCAACCTTGGATCTAAATACCAAAGTCGAAGACACATTCGAAAGCGTAGAGGCTCGTACCAAATCCAGAGGACACTCTACCCCCCAAATGGCTGGCGCCTTTGCAACACGGATTGGAGCAAGGCAGTTGGTGCTTAATCATTTCTCGGCCAGATATCCAGGGAACGACCACATCGATCCGGTGGCTAAGTCGATGATGGAAGCAATTGCACGTCTGGGTGGGGAGTACTATGGGGGAAAGATTACATGCGCACGGGATTTCATGAGTTTTGACGTCAATATACCAGAAGAACATGTATGAAAATAAAGCATGCACATTCAATCATCTGGTGGATCAGACAATGCGCTGCTTGCATCGCTTGCTTCCCCTTCTTCCAATTCTTCACGGGCTTTCTTCGCCTTCACTTTTGGATCCTCTGCAACCTCTCCCATCTCTATGTCGTCGTCTTCTTCTGGATGTTGTAGGTGTAGCGACGAGGGTGTATGCGACCCGAGCGCGAATTCTTTGGCGGTGGGATTGAGATGCGATGAGAGGGGTATGTCTTCGGATTCGTCATCCTCTCCGTCCTCTTTCTCCTCAGCCACCTCCCCAGTTTCTTTCTCCTCGTCTTCAACCATTCCTTCATCTACCATTTGTGAGCTATCGCGCATGGCAGGCAAGGCGTCGTCGGCTTCTGTACTATCTGGAGCTGGCGTGGTAGCGGGTGTCCCTAGACGCGATATACTGGACTCTTTGTCTTTACCCATTAGGCGAAGAGAGCTCAAGTCCATAATAATGCTGTCCAAAGCCGTTTTCTGGCCCCTTATGATTCGGTCCTGAGTCTCGTGTTCAGCATTAATAGCAGCCATGTCATTTTCAAGCGACCGTATAGCCCTAAGCCCAATGAGAACACATCAGAGTTGACTGAACAACGAGCACGACCCACTGTTCAAGCTCGTCACGACTTGGAAGAGTATTGATCTTCTCGGCAATTAAGTCGTACTCGACCTTTCGTTTGCGTTCCATGTGTGCATGCTCCAGCGCGACTTTCAACTCGTCGATTTGACCCCGCAGAGCGTCGTGGTCCTTCTCTGAAATGTTCGCTCCTTAGTGCGTCCAACCCACAGGCAAAACTAGGTTCACTCACCAATCCTCTCTCGCTCCCGCTGGTACTCTTCCACCTGCCTCCGCTCAGCTTCGCATACCATCATGCTCTTTTTGAGGGCTAGTTCAAATGACGCAAGCTCGATTAAGAATGCTTCCCGTGCATCTTCTACTGTTGCGGAAGAACCAGGCGGCACAAGGGGATGGTGTACTAAGGAAGCGTAGTTGTGAAATTTCTTGACCACCCGCCGAAGCGGTCGTTCGTCGTTCGTGATACGTGTGTGTATGATGGCATCTGTTAGCGTTATGAGTTGTCTATTAACATTGAGATGCAGCTTTGACCCATGCCTTCTTCTTCAGCAGTCAGTGGTGGAATTGGTCGTGATGACTCTAGCACATTTGATTCTGCGATTGCCATGAACGTTTTGGTTTTGACACGGAGGAGTGAGTGTCGAGTTAGAATTGAGCAAACCCCAGACCTACATCATTGTGATTATATTTAGAACCCAGCACCTAGTGGGCTTTTTGTATCAAGTCATGATGCGCTACAAGTGCATCTTCCAAACAGACGATTATATGTATATAGTACTAGAACAATGTGCGTGAAATGATGCAGAAGGATAACATTCAGCAGAGCGTAAAAATCCATTAGATCAACCCCACTCCTCTGGCACAAAAGGGGTAACAAGGTCATAAATTTCTTCGTTGCCTCCTCGCCCTCTTGGAGTCTTTCCGCGCTTAATAACGCGCTTGAACATTCCACCCACTCGACTTAGAGAAGTGTCAGAGAAGTCCACACTGTCAGGCCTCTCATTGTCCCTGGGATAGCATGAGTCGATATTGTGAGCGAGCTTCCGAACGCCACCAGAGCTGTCATTTGCAGCCTTTCTGGAAGCTTCGACAGCCGATTGTAAGTACATGGCGAGGTTGGGAAAGTTGATGGGAAGTGTAGGATATGGCATGGAATTTGTCGCAGGAACCACATAATATTTGGCCATTGACGAATCAGCCCCGTCACGGAGGAGTTGTGGGAGTGGTGAAAGAGTATAGGAGTAAGGAAGTACGGTTACATCGCCATTGGTGAACTTGTGCGAGTTTGAGACGGATGGAGGTACCGGCATATCAGTCGTCAAATAGAGAAGTGTCCGCCATTCCGAAGCTGAGTGATGAATCTGCAAGGTCGGTCAGATGTGGTGTTCAGGTAAGATGTCGTCCATACCTTGACAAACTGGATCACAGTTCTCAATTTGAGCTCATGTTTTGCAAGCGTAATAGCTTCTACAGTTGGTTCGACGCGAGTTCCACTCAATCGTGCCATCAACTTCAACAGGTGACGCCAGGAAGGCGCCTGGAAGTGGAAAATTGGAGCCTTCCCGTATGGTAAAGTTATGACATGAGGCATAGTGGCTGCCATGGGTGACAATATCGTCGAGATTGCAGGCCGTGAAAATCCCATCGCTGCAAATCTGAATCAACCTAGGGAGAAAAGCAGATAAAAGATAATACTTACAAACACCCATCAGCATTTCTGGTTCAACATACTGGTTGGCAGTTAGCGCTGGCCCGGATCGAGGATCAGTCCCCTCATCACCATCCTCTTCCTCCTGCAGGTCTTCATCAACTGAATCCAACTGATCCATCTTAGACGACGAGCTGAAGGAAAGTGATGGACTTGATAGTGCGTTTTGGCTCGATTTTGCAGTGGATGGGAACACAGAGACATTTTCACTCGATGAAGAGCGACAGCTAGAAGAACCACTTTCGGAGTGTCCGACAGAAAGCTTGCGTGGTTGAGCTTGTTGCGGGGGAAATTCAAGAGGACTCGACTGCGGAGATGGCATTGAATACGAGGATGCAGGATGGGGAACCAGCGGGGGGCGGACATGATCACTAGCTCGAGGAGACGCAACGGGTGGAGAGGATATAGTTGACAGTATACCGTTGTTCATAGTGTCATCGTTCGGTTTCACGGCTGAGATGGCACTTGCATACAGTGTTGGGGTCGGAGTTGAGTGATCTCGATTTGATCTGGAGTCATCAGTCGTGGATTGGAACGATTCTTGATCGTCTTTATCAGAACAATACTCGGATGTGGTAGGTGTTATCATGTGTAGAAAGCTTTCGTCTTCCCGAGGGTGTCTTGAAACACGATGTTGTGTGGTGATAGCCCCTGGACTGAGGAAGGTCTTTTCTGGAGAGGAAGACAAAGGCTGAGACGATGACGAAGGACCATCCTGGAAATCCTGACGCTCGTCGAATAAGTTATCGTATACATACCTGTTATAACTGATGTCAGAGATCCGAGATTCCTCCAAAGCCCTCATCAAGTCTGCTTCCTCCTGAGCTGATATGTCCTCATCCCGCTGATGCGCCTCCGATGCAGAAAGCGCTAGTGCTAATGCGATATCCTTATCATCAGTAGGAGATTGTTCGGCAGCCTGCATAGTCTGGCTGGACGGTCCCGAAACGGGACCAGGGATAGACTGAGGATATAGCGGATTGCGGGATGAGGAAACAGTAGTCGTCAGTGATGGTCTTGGAGGAACAGGTGGGCGAGGAAGGGGAGGGGGAGGGGGAGGTGCACTCATTCCCGGTTGTTTCTGAGGAAGAGGAGGGGGTGATAAGGGGGGATGCGGCCTAGTGAAGAAGTAATCGCCATAGAATGATGTATATGGCGGGGATGCAACCAATGTACCCGATGTATTATATGAAAATGAGGGATGTGGTGAACCAACGCCAACAGGGGGTGGCCGTCGGCCGGGGGTCAAACTTGCGGGAATAGGCATGTGTCTCGAATGACCATTATATGTAGGCAGGGGGGGTTGGGGCGGTAAATGAGGACCAGGTAATGTTG